CTTTAAGATCAATTGCATTCTTACAAAGAAAATGTATTGCATACAAATTGATACTTTTTCATGGTTCCGTGTAATTATTAATAAAAAAAACGCCTTCAGGCCGCCGTGCAATCATAACAGATGTTGCCCCGTATAACATGTTGAATATCAATGCTGCGAATGCTAAAGGGGTAGTTAAATCGTTGTTCGATAATTATTGTAATCGGTAATCCCTGGCACGCATTAATTAATCAATCGATCCGGAAGGTGTTCATTCAAAGACAAACGTGATTCATGTGTTTGTAAGTAATAGTCTGTATATAATTTAATAATCTTTTTTAAGGACTGCACTTGTACCACCGCGATCATTTCTATCGAATAATTAGAACATGCTTTTAGTCTTAAAATAATACGGGTGAGATACAAATGAAAAATATTGTTGTTGTATATTTTACTTAATATATTACGTAAGCGGAATCGCATGATTTTATGTTTTTAAGAGTACCGCCCCTACGTTGATCTCTTTTAAATGCTGAAGTTTCCCTTTTATGAACATAAACATGCAATCAGTACATAGGCGTTTAAGCACTGCATTTGCTGCGATTGAGAATTAGTCGACATTTTAATTAACATTTTCAAAAAAAATTGAGTAAACGCTGAAAAAATGCTTTTGATTGAAAATAAAAAATATCATCAGTTATTACTTATTGTTAAATTATTTGAATTCTGACAATATTATGTTTATGGTCACGCACTTAATACAAAGTGCATGACTTATTGATCAGAGGTTAGAATGTATTTGGAATCTTTCTATATAATAATATGTGTTAAGAATAAAAAAAAATCATCTCATACGTGCACTCAAATTTTTTTGTTGAAAATTCATTTATGATGGTTTATTTTTAATGGCATTTGCGATACCGGTTCATGCTTTTGGGTCTGTAAATTACCTTTCTGTACATCGATTTTGGCAAAAACAACATCTAGAATAAAAACCGGCGGTATTCTTCCAACAATTACCAAGAAAAATTCATATGAAATGATTTGGCATAGTGAAAAATCGACTGCGATAACGTATTATAATTATTTATCGTTATGAAAATTAACGGTTTCAATGATTTTTTAGCACCTGCTAACGTGGCTGTCATTTATCTATAATCGTTCCTACAACTATTAATACAATTGCTACGATCACAAATACAGTCCACTGTCATTGCAGATATGTAAAATAATATGTGTGACGTTATTAAACGCGTGTACACGGTGTTTTTCATCTAGTTTTTATAATCTCCTCGACTATCTTCTTTGTAATGACATCGGTCGTGTACACACTGCTGTCGTGGTCACGAAGACGACACTTCGAGACGGTGAACTGCAACCGACCAAGGGGAATTTCGGTCGTGACAAAGACGAATCACACTATACGAGACTTATATTTTTTGCCATCGATGGTTAGCGTGTTAAACGATGACACCTCGTGAGGATTTCTATACAAAGCGACACACCACAGTGTTTTTCATGACGCGGGCGGACATACTGTTTGTTTACTCGCATAGTTTCCAAAAAAACGCCTATGGTCGTCTAACCTTTATTCGTGTTTGTATAATAATATTAGTAATAACGTAAGTATGAGTATGAGTAAACTGATGAAACTCGCTAATTGCCAGTATTCGGTTGTAGGCGTTGGCGTTCCTACTTCTGACGAATCGTTTGAATACTCCGACCGGTATAATAGACGTGCATAACAATCTCACCGGTCATCGTACATTCCTATCGGTATTTTACTGTGATGACCTGTAATACGCACTCATGTCACTCAGGAAACCTAGGTCGGTGTACGCATAGAGATATAGTAACGGCTTGCACATTAACTTAATGGCATTAAAATCAAGTTTTAGTGGATAGTAGATTATATAGGTTTCATTATTTATTCTACTAGTTTCGCCTAATTAAAAAAAAAAAAAATGTTTTTTTAATGTATTAAAATCAATTTGTTATTATTAAAATATCTTAATAATACTCGAATGTGTATTGCTAGTATAATAAACGTTTAATAAACTTTATACTGTAAAGCCTAATATTCTTTAAGTTACTAGAAATTTAAAAACTAGCAATAAAATGTATTGAGGATGTTTAATGAAGTTAATTATAGTTGAACATTTAATACTGAATGATTTTTATAGATTATATAACTTGGGAAAACAGTGCTCAACTCCATTGTAATGTATAAATGTTTTAAAATTCCACATTGTCTATGATTTATGTCTTTTAAACTATTTTAAAAGGCATAAATCATTAGTATTTGAAATGATATTACGATGTGCGTCTATGGCGAATTAACAGATTTCACGTAACACAACTTTGAGGATTTCCCATGAAATTTTTCGAGCTTTATTATTAGATATTACATTATTATTATTATTTATTGCTCTTTTTCTTTACTGGACTAAAAATATTTTTCTTTGAAACCTTAAATTTTACGTCTATCAAGGAAAGTCACAAATTCTAGGATTTCGAAACCAAACTCGGTCTTATTTCTTTTATTTATATGTTAATTACTGAGAAGTAGCTTTATCGAAATATGTTATTATTGTTTCAAATTTTTATTAGTTCACCTATAATGAGAATTCACCCGTAATAAATGGTTTAATTATTTTATGTATGGACGTAATAATTAATTGGTAATTTGAAACTCTTTTATGGTCTTGTTAAACTATGCTAAATATTTATATTAAACATTCATTGAAACTAGATAAAAGCAAATCTAAGTAATAATAATATGTGATAATATTATTTGGAAAATTTGCCAAGTATTAGTATAACATAGTGTATTATATAGTTATTGCAGTTGTACTGTATTAATTGTAAAATAACGTGTATTTCCATAGTATTTGATAAAGCATACAGAGTAATGAGATGAAATATCGCTTGTATGTTAGCAAGTAGTGATGATAAATTTTTATTTTATGTTAAACTTATATGTAAAACCCGATGATAAAAATTCATGTCCGAAATGCTTTGGATGAATAGTGGCATCTCGTAGTGAGAATTCTCTTTTTGCTCTCAGCTGACCCGACGGCCAGTAACCAAATACCCTTAATAAAGACCATTATTATAATGTGAGAGAGTGCTCGTATGTATATTTTTACAACAATTTGTTAACATGACCACCAACAATGGTTGCGAACAAAACAAAAGATGCACGTGCCTCGAGGCACTTCAGTAGGCAATGAATATGTTTATTTTATTGTGATGTTTATTGATACGAAAAACAGACAGGTGCACATTAGTATGTAAATGCATAATGTTCATCTTGATGGGATTTGTGCCAAGATTCTTATACTTTATACGTTGTTTAAAATATAAAAGAAGATCATGGATTACTTAACAATCGAAGAACAAATTTTAATACATTCCTAATGTGTTATTAAGTTTATTATTAGGTAATTTAAAATCCCTTTTTAATTTTCTTGAACATAAAAATACTATTATTTTATACATTTTTAATATTGTTAATAAATTGTATATATTGTATAACATATAACAGTCAAGGTTGTGAAAGTTAACAGATTTTTTAAACTTGTTAAGGTAAATTAAATTTGTAAATGGTACGTTTAAGGGTAGGATGTTCCACGAGGTTCTGACAAATCGCCATAAAAAAAGTATATGAATTTTTTGGATGTTCGTCGAATAATCTGTGTATTGCTAAATTTTATGATGCTACCACGTTAGTGCTATAAATATTATCCTATTTATCAAAGATAAATTCCTAAATAATGTGCAAAATAGTCTTCCTTTTGATATTTTATCTTATAATACCCTAAACTGTTTCTACCTCATTGGTTCGAAAATATACATTTTTCTGATGTCATAATAACTAAAACAATGTAATATTGTACTTAAGAAAATTTTCATGAGTTTATGAATGTAAATTTAAAATTTAATAAAAAAAAGATATGACAAATTTCTTATTTAAGAAAAAATAAAGGCAAAACTAAGCTATTCACACTTAATTTTCATCATTATTATTTGAAAATGTTATTTATTTATTTAATATTATTCAAAAACTTAATATTATAATTTTAAGTAACTGGTCTGAATTGGTCCATAAGCCTCAAGGTATTATTGTGATTAGATAATTGGGTGTACTACCTACCATTATATAAAGTAGTCATTAGATATACTTAATTTTGTTTTTTCATTTTTATTATGGAATATTATACACATAGGCGCATTTACAACAACATTTTTATATCTAATTTCTTCTTCCCTAAAATTTCTTTTATATAATTTTACATTTTGTATTTCTAACATTTTGGAGGAATAATATCTTTATACCCTCCTAATTTGCACCTATGATTATACACATTATTTATTATCAAAATTAACCAGCAGAATCTTAAGGTTCTGCGGGTTGATTCAGACACGCAGGTGAATTTGTGAACAATTCTATAAATACTAAAAGTATTTATTTTCTTTAATTTCCATATTATATACATCTTGTGTTTGATACGAACTAGAAAAAATATATTCAAATGCGTCTTGAATTTTAATTTTTTCACTGTGTGTGCATCAATAATCATCTGTATTTATTAACCGGTCCTTAAAAACGTTCAAATACGCCGAGAAGTAAAGTAAATCTCAGGCCACATGTCACAATGCAAGTACAGCTATAGTGTAAATATTTAAGTATTTATAAGAGTTTGAAAAGTAATGTGTATACTTAAGCAGTATGTTTAATGGAATAAACAGCTTAATCTAATTTTATTATGCAAAATACATTACGTTTCTCATTTATTGAATTACATTAATTAATTTATCATTATAAAACTGTTAGAAAAATGTATTGTATGAATGATAGTTATTTAAAGGCTACTATAAATAAAATAATTAGTATACAGAGGAATACAGGATTGTTATACTACTATATTCAATTACTTATAAAATAAAAATAATTTTGGAAATATTTTTTTAATTACATACACTTCTCTATTGGTCAGTTAGTACTTTTTCGGTTCATCTCTTATACTTTATAAGAGTATAAATTTTATTTTTTTTAAATGGCAACATATATATTTAAAGTATCGTATATAATGAAAATAATTCAAATCAAAAAAATGACTGGTCTACAATAATTTTTAGTCGTATACTTCGGAAGTTATTACTATTCTAAAAAAAAGCGACTAGGGATGAATTGTAAGGTAAGACCATTTTTTATAACTTGTTATTTTTCATCCAGGTTAGATACATTAAAATTAATGTTAAAAAATTATACAATCTAGATTACTTTGAATCCTAATAATAAGAGGTAAGTATAGTTTCAAGTAAATTGGAATAGATTAACCCATCGCATAAAAAATTTGAAAACCTCAATAATATTGAATAATTGTACGTTTTCCATATATTTTTAGTATAAAGCGTTAAAAAACGAATTCACAAAAATATTGTGTAGATAGAAAATATTTAATAGAAAATTTTAAACATTATTTTCATAAATTTATTATTTATGAAGAAAACATTAATTAAATATTTTTTGTTATGTTGAGAGTTGTTAAAAACTCACAAAATAAAAAATAAAATAAACTTCAGTATTAATTTTATAGCACCACAAATAATAAATAAAACCTGTATTATTATTGTTTATTTGATTAAATCTACTAGAACACTGCAACACATACAAATAAAATAATCAATCATTATACAAAGTTATCAAAAACAGTATTTTTTTGGGATCTGGATATTACTGCGGTAAACATTTATTACTTAAAACAAATATTGTTGTTATTTTTCATGATATGTCATTTTTGAATTAAACTCCTACATTAGTTTAACGCCTATTTTAGCTATATCATTTACTTTAATTATACTATTAATTAAGACTGTTGATGTTTTGTATTTTTTATCAGTACTATAATGATGGGTCGATGATAAGAAAATTTGTCTCTACATTAAAACATATAAAAAATTGCATTAAATGTTCACAAATAAAATGTTCAAGTTTTTTATTTAATATCTTAGTAGCTTCTTTTGCACTCAATTAATAACTATTAGATATCGCTCAAATGTACATACATGTTAATCACCAGCTCCTTACCTCCAGATAATATTCACAAATATTAATAACTGATGAAAGACTGATTCAAAAGCTGTTATTGATTTATGGATCACTATGTACATTTGAAGTATTTCAAAATCATTGACCACATAATAAAATCTAGTTTATTTGTTTGTTAGACTATTAAAAAATAAAATCATAAAATTATTGAAATATTTGGAGACAGAATACAACACGAGTATAGATTAACTGAAAATAATAATTTCATATGGAATTTATCTTATTTTGGTATACAAGTTGCAAGCATATTGAAATTTGTCTCAACCACATATTTCGTTTATACTTAGTAACCATTGCTATCAAAGTATAATTTTAGTCGTCTGTTAATTTACTCGTTATCCTTTGATTATTATTTTTCTTTATTAAAAAAATTAAGACATCAAATCATTTTTAATTTTTTCAAAATTTAAAAAATTAAAATTTTTTAAAGACAAATTATGCTTTTGACGTAATATAAAATTGTAAAAATTATTTAAAAAGAAATATAACGCAACATATTTGATGGTTTGTAAGTCATTAAAGATGTCAAAACATCGTTCGACACCCCGTATATATTATTGTTTGTGTCAACTTAATATTAAAAAAGAAGTGTATTGCGTTCATCGATAAAAATAAGTAAATTACGAAACAGAAGTTAATATAATAATATTTCAAATAAGGTCTTAACTATCTTTATGATCGCAATAAATTGATGTGGTCATGAAGATAGATAAGATGGATTTTATTTTATTGTTAAGTACTATTGTTTTTTGTTACGAAGTTAATGCGGATCAATATGAAATTCCTCAAGTTATCGTTTTACAAACTCACGAAATTCTAGAAATATTTCAGAAAAGAATAAAACGTGATACAACTAAACGAGTAGATGATAATTTCAAAATGAATTTATCTAATTTTGGTATACAAGTGGCTCGGATTTTAAGTTTAATTCCCGATCACAATGTTGAATGGTTGTGGTATCTCAGTATTTTTACAAATTCAATTCAAAATTTTTATCAAACCAATAATCAAGAGGATAGCGTTAAGGCTTATCAAGTTAAAAATACTCTCGAATATATTATAAAGCTAATGAGGACTACCGAAAATATTAAAGTTCCCAAAAATTTATTGGCGATTTCCTGTTTACAAAATTCATCTTTCAAAAATGACGAGTTGTATGAAACTATATTCCATCAAATAAATAATCTTAAGAAATCTATAACGACTCAAATGGCTTCTAATAAGAATATGAATCATGATTTAATAGAAGATGATATTAAGTTTTATATGCCACAAAATTTATTCTTAGATCACATAGCTTTGAATCGTTCATCAATATATTCACTTAAATCTGATAGCGAAACAGTTACATGGTTTAATATAAATGATTTACTTAACTTAAAATATTATAATGCTGTTTCAAAATGGATCGATAGCGAACAAAATTATAAAAGCTTAAAAGAATACAGATGTTTCATATTCATGATTATTAAAGTATCATTTTATGGTCATTTACAAGTACATTTACAAACTTACTATTACTATTTCCATTACCTCGGAAACCAAGATCTAAAAAATGCGTGGGATTCAATGAAAGAATTAGTAATTAATAATAAATCTTTTTTGGAGCTAGATAAAGATGAAGGTATAATTGATTCATATCTAAAGTTGACCGAATTAAATTATTATGATGTAAATTTTAAAGAAAATTTATTAAAAATGTGTAATAAAATCGATGAAAAGTTGAAAAAGCATTATAATAATACATATAATTTATTTAAAGTTGTACATGATTTTTATAAGAATTTCTTTAAAACTGAATATATTTCTGTGAATTATGAAAATTATATTAAATTAAATTTTGATAAGCTAGTTGGATATTTGGCCAATGTTCGTTTATTATTTAAAAATGTTAGTTTTAATAGAGCGAAAATTTTTTTTAATTGTATTGCTAAATAATGAACGGTTGTAAAACGTCAACATTTTAAAATAATTTATAAAATTGGAAAAGATATTTTTAATATATTTCATTTAAATTGCGATACTTTGTTTGAAATTTAACAAATTTTTTGTTTAATTAAATTTATATAAATATTTGTCCTAAAACTTTAATTTGTCACATTGTTTTACTCGGTCATTATTAAATTGTTAAGTTTAAAGATTATTTTATTAATCTTTCGTTGAATTTTTTTTACCTATTAAAATAAAGTACATATTTAATAAAAACTTATTGCATGAGTGAGATTAAAAAATTAGGACAAGCTGACTTATGAGGCGAGATGACAAATAAATAATAGTACTGTGTGCATAACTTTTATGGAAATGTTTCAAAACATGTAAAATTAGTCGAAAACATTTGTATAATTTTCAAGCAAATTACAGACAATTTATGTTTGTTAAAACATTTACGTATTGTTTTTTACGATGTTAAGTTTTAAATTGTGTGTAAAAAACTAATTTTTAAAAAATTTTGAAAAAAAAAAAAAATAGTATCTAAATGTTTTAATTAAATTAGGGAAGTAAAAATATTAAAATAAAAATAGAGACTTTTCGTGAGTTAGTATGAAGGTAATCTATTGATTTAGTGATTTTCAATTATTTTATTATATAGTTTATGGCAGGCACCTTACCAGGATTTTAGTATGGAGAGGATTTTAAAATTTTTTTTATTTTTGCTTATCATATACTTTTATTATCGCCAATATTATATACTATTAATAGCAATAATAATTTAAGGAAAACAGATACAATCCAATACGTCCAAAATCTGTTTTTTCAACCTTATTACTTTCAACGTATTACGCTAAATAAACAAAAGTCTAATGACTGTTAATGATCAAAAATAATGTTGACCAATCCGACACAAATCTATTGTTAAAAATTGTTTTTATTACTTCCATACAAATAATGTACTCTATAAGTTGCTCATGATGTCAATAAATAATTATTTTAATTGCTGTATATTTTGTAAACTTTCTGTTAACGCAGAAATACTGATGTTTTTATTCTTTAGTTGATTATTTATTATTATCTTTATTGACGGTGAGTTTGTCAATTAATAAAATATTATATTTGACTATAGTAGAATATAGTAGTAAATTGTTGTTTCTTAAAATCTGAAAATCGTAATTAATTCAGATATAATTATTTTCATATATTTTGTTTTTACATTTAGTACTCTACCTTTGAAGTATAAATGTTATGAAAAAAAATTATAATGAAATATTTTTTAAATGAAATAATACAGAAATTGTTTTGACATTTATAAATAACATAACTTTTGCAAAAGTAGTTCATGAGGAAAAAAGCGTGCAACAATAATAATTATGATTTAAAATTATTTGCCATTTAAACGGTTGCCTTGACAGATTAACAACATCAGAGTCAAAATTATCTTTCTTGTTACTCTGGTAACAATGTGTATCTGAAGGATATGGAATCTAATTAGAAAATAGCTATTCTTGTTCAACGACGGCGAGTGTGTGATGCGTGTTAACAAATTATAATAAAGTTGACTATCCTAAAATTCTTGAATGTAATTCTTTGAATGTATCATTAGTTAACTATCGTTCTAAATAATTGTTTTACATTACACCATCTAAGCAAAACTAATGCTTTTATTCGCCGATCAACCGAATGTTAAGTGAATGCAATGAAATTTTGATCATATTGTTTTATTTTTTGACTCCCATATCCTCTTAATGTTTTTACGCCAGTGACACTTACCAACACAGTCACCTTTGCAACTGACTAGTCGTGAACACTCTGTCGATACGAGTGTTGCGTGTTACAGTGCGATGTGATTTTTTACCCTAGATCTCTTCTGTAGTACACGTAAGACGTATGGTATTATTTATGTATGTTAATTTATGATAAAATTGTGTTTAGCCAGTGGTGGTGTCGGCGGTCCAAGATATCCATGGGGGCATTATTGTCGGGGATTTGCATACACGTTATGCGCTCATATAAACACCATAAATAATAATATTATTCAGAACGGTATCGTAATTACGATAGTGTAGGAGCAGAGCAAACGATAGAGTATAAGAAAATTCCGGATGAATCGCGTGATCTCGATAAACGAAATCGGATTTCCATGTATGTGTTTGTGTGTGTGAGCTACTGTCCGCTAATTGTCCATGTACACGCATCTCTCTTTTTTTTATAACTCTACCGTTTTACCTCCATTCAGTCGTTTGTAACAGGTGTTTTGGCTGTCTAGTATGTACTCGATATTATGTACATCATATTTTTTATGCACCGTAGAAAAGAAAACGTACATATAATATGTCCTTCGCTGGATACAGGTGATAGCTACTTACTATATGTATCCTCCAGCAATATTTTAATGTATTATATTTTATTATGTGTACAATAGCACATTAGACCAGCGTGGTCATTGATAATAAGGAGAATGGAAGCTGGTGGTAACGAGGAGGATGTTTTAAAAAATTTTCTTTTTCTTACCCTTTAGCGGGATCCGGTTGTTATTATTGATATTTTTTTTTGTATGATCATTGAATGGATTTGTCTTGGTTTTTAAGTTTTAATGTTAAATTAGCCTCTTTACATTTAAAAAGCAACGCTAATTTAATCTATTTTTGATTTATTGTAGTATTTATAGTATATTAGTTAACTTATTGATTATATACAATAAGTTAATTGACGAT